TCACTGTTGGTAGTCCTCAAGTGATGTGGTTTCTGTTATTTGGTACAGGTCTTTCTATGTGATTCTATGAGTGCTAGTTGACACTGTTCAAAGAAGGATGATCTTTGCCAAGACCCTCAGGCTTCATTCACTTGAACCCTTTTTTTCACCATTGATCTTAGTAAGTGGTTGTATACAAATGATCGGTTTGGTGACATGCATGACATCAGTATGTAAGTCTCGGTCTGACAAGACTATTTAAGAACATGAGTTTTCAGTATCTGTCTATATTTCTGAGATGAGGTATTATGTGCATTACTTACATTATTCAGAGTATTGTCCTCATCTTTGTCGCCATATTTATTACGTTTCAGCCATTGTATGCTCCGGCCTTCTTCAGATGGTTGGAATGTCAAACTGAATCCTTTATTTCGCTCACTGGGGTAGACTGTTGAGTTTTCAGGTTGAAATTTTGGTTTCATAGCAATGTGTGGTGTAGGGCAAAACTATCTCTACCACAGCCTCTATTCTATGTTCAATTTCTTTTTCTCCTATACTTAATTTGTTATAACTGACCCATATACTGAGATATCTAAAGTGTTTAGTATTTATTAATTCCATGTCCTGAATTTTTATGATGGATTCAGGGTTGGTGCCATCCCTGCTTTCATTCCAATTCCAGATCATAATTTGTTAGTTTCAACCAGCAACAACAAATTTCACAAATACCATCATTTTATTTATTATTTTTATTTGAGCAGGATATTAATTTTGTCGTCGTTGTTTAGGAAATTTAATGGCTTCAGGTATAAAAAAAATAGAAAATGAAGCAAACAGTAGGACAATCTCTATCCAGTATCTATCTTACATACCTATAAGTTTACCATTCACCCATGCCATAAAATAGTGCTGCTATATATGGACCTATGCTCCTGTTATATATTTAGAGATTCTTAATCAAATCCAAAGAATCAGCAATATTATTAGTCTTGATCTGCCATCTCGGCTTCAGTCACTTTCCCAGCACTGTGATGTAACTTCCCTGTGCCTTTCCTATACATACTTTCATGATAATTGTTTGGATGAACTTTTCACTATGGTACCTGGGCTCTATGAATTTGAGCAAAGTGCTAGATTGGCAACAAGGTCTCATCAGTTTATAATCACAACTGGCTATATGAAGCCATAAGTCCTATGCTAATAGTTTCTTTTCTCACACTTCTGGCTTGTGGAACATTCTTCTGGCTCCATGCTTTCCAGCAAACTTTGATCTTCAGAAATTTAAATGCAATGTCAATTGTTATTTACTGTTTTCCTGATTACTCTATTGTTCTTGCTCCTTAAAATTGTTTCCGCTTTTCTAAATTCTTTCACTCATTAGCTCCTTGTATCTTAGTGGCTTTACTTACTTGCAAGGAGTAAAAAAAAAAAAAAAAACATATCCAAAAGTTGGCTAAAAAAATGGCTGAGTGGATTAAAATGTTTAAAACCATGTACCACCAAAATGGATGCATTTTTTCGAAATTAAAACCAAAAATGATACCCACTATTTTTTTTAAATTTACAAAATTATTTCAGTGTAATGAGCAGATTATTTTGTTAAAAAACTTGGAAATATTTTGATACATTGTGAATACTTATAAAATGCGGCAGGGGTTTATGATAAATATTTTTCATAGTTTATAAAAAAAAAAAAATCCCTAAAGATATTTCAGTAAAAGATTTTTGCAATATCAAATCAGAAAATGTTGAGAATTAATCCTGAAGCCTTAGAGAATAATAATAATTCAATAAAGTTCAAAATATAATTCTTGTTGAGAGTGGTTTAATTCTTGATAACTTTACTTCTAATTTTTCAGTGTGATTTTGAAATTCAAGTTGTTAATGAGAAAAAAAAAGTTGTTCTTTTTAAATAAAGATGTGTTTGAAGAATCAAAAAAATCTAAAGTCTGATATCATTTTTACATCAGAAAATGTTTTTAAAAAAATTTTAATTTTTTTCACAACTGTAGGCTGTAGGATTATTTTTTTTGTATGGCAGTTCAAGAAGGAAATAATTCTGAATTACCTCCTTTGACTGATTACTCCTTCCTACTGGAAGAGTAAGATGATATCTATCCTTCTCAACCAGTTAGTTAATTTTATGTCTGTTAATCAATCAAAATGTGTATTTTTCTCATGTCTGTGTTTCACTGCTTATTTAGTAAATATTGTTTTTTTTTTTTTTTGTTTTTTAAATCAAACAGTAACATCTTCAATGCTTACGAGAAAAATTGGCAATTTCTTGATTACTGCATTCTTAGTGTTATATACTTTAATTTTTTTTTAAATTTCTCACATCGAGAGTCAAGGATGACAGTAGAAAACTACTTTTGTTGATAGCTCACAGGCTAACAAACATAATTAAAGGTTATCTTCATTAAGTTTTAAGCAAAAATGAAGCATTGCTTTTGCAAAATCCAGTTAATTAATCCTTAAATTCACTATTTCGAAATATTTTCTAGGACAAATGTTGGATTTTTAAGAGATTTCTAAATTTGTTATTTATATTTTTTGTCAATAATGGTGATTCATTGAGTGACAAGTGAAGTGCAAATGTTTTAAAATGTCTAAAATCTTTCAAATGTAGAAAGGTATTTTTATTTTCATAGTCTCGCTTTAAGCAAAAATATCTTCCAAATAAAGCCAAAATTTAACTTAATTTTACATTATTTTAAATAAACATTTTTTTTCTTAGGAAATCCATGGCAGTACCAAGTGAAAATATATTTGGTCCCTTCCAAGTTCAATTCTTGAGTCTGGTAGCGCTGAAAAGTCATACATCATTTACACCCATTTCGACAATAAGGCTGATCAGTTTGAGGTCAAAATGGCAGCCGATGTCCAAAACAACTTCAAGTCCATTGTTAATTGGGTGATGATTTGTTAATTTTAATGCCTCCAAAACTAAACTTTTCTCCATTAATCATCTGAGAGAACCCTCCCTGCCTTCCATCAGCAGGACTTGTGCTTACCTCCAGGAAAGTGACTCCAGTGGATTGAATAAAGGATTCAGCTCAAAATTCCAAGTCAGTTACAGAATACAAGAGATGCTTGAAGCAAGCATAATACTAAAGATGAGCATGCTGGCCCTAAAGTAAACACAAACAAATAGAACAATAATTGGAAAAAATATATTTCAATTACTGCCATTCTTTACACTCAGGTGTAAACTAGTAATTTTGGTGGAGCAAATATAAAATTTTATGATTTTGGTTAGGTGCAAATAATTGTGCACCAAATAAATAAAATGTAAAAAGTATTTGCACTTGTAAATAAATGTTGCTTTATTTTCCAAGATTGCTGCATTTTTTCTTTATTAATGTTCACCCAATACAAGGCCTAAGAGCCACTCAAAGTAGAGGGTTACTGTGTGATGTTAAGAGTGTAAGAAAGGGCAAGAAATGAAGTTATTGGGGCTATGAAAGAAAGAATAGCTACCTCCAGATTTTAAAAAGTCAAGACTTAATTAATGAATAACATTTTTCAGAATTCAGTTGGAGATGAAAGAAGTATAGTGCGAAAATAAACTTTAAAAGGAACAGGAAACTATAGATAAACCTCTATTCCTGTTCAAGAGTGGAGAGGAGTGTGAACCGGATGATAGGCAAATCTGTCTACTCCTTGGGAGAGAAGAAAAAAATAAATAGTGAATATAATTTCAGAGACATAAAGTACAGAGCTGAAGTAGACTTTTTAGAAGGATTACTTTCTTTTGGTTACATTTCCCATCCAAACACTACTTACCGTGCATTTGAAATTTAGGTGCTAATTTTTTTTTTTTTTACCCACCAGTTAGTTGCTTATTTCCATAATCACCCTCTAAGCAAACATGGATGCATAGAAATCAAATCTTTGCACAGAAAAAAAATGTCTGGAGAACTATTGTTTTCATTTTTTCAGTCAAGAAAATCAACATCAATGAAGATTAGGGAGTAAAGATATTTTCAATTTAATTAATAATACCAATTCAAAGACCAATATTATTAGGATAAAATTTAAAAAAAAAAAAAAAGGGACCATAGCGATTTCAAAAAATGATTAAAATTTTTAAAACTAAAAATCTTTAAGAAAAAATTTGATTTCACAGAATCTGCAAAATAACTATCCATCAGATCATATACAGTGTAACCTGGATATAAGAGATTTTTTCTGGTCCCAAATTAGAGCCTGTGTTAAATAGACCAAACCCGGATATAAGAGAGATTTTCTCTGGTCCCAAATTAGAGCCTGTGTTAATGTATATAAATTAGACCAAACCCGGATATAAGAGAGATTTTCTCTGGTCCCAAATTAGAGCCTGTGTTAATGTATATAAAATAGACCAAACCCGGATACAAGAGAAACCCGGATATAAGAGACGACTTCTCCGGTCCCGACAACTCTTATATCCGGGTTACACTGTATTATTTTTTTCTTCGTCGATTACCACGAGTTGTGGAGAACAAGAGTTATGGAATTACGAATCCGGAGAAGGACGTGCAAAGTTATAACAGGATAAAGCTTCTTTTTTTTTTCTTTTTTTGAGTCTAGGCACTGTAACCAAAAAAAAATAAACATTTTTTTTTTTTTTCGAAACATTTTTCATACACTCCCGATCACGAATATAAAACAATAAACACATTCAAATTTTATAGACGTTTATAGGGAGGGGTCCGGTTTTTTACTACGCTTTAAATTCATTGTAATGTAACGTCCCCATATACGGAAGTCAAAACAAAATATGTTCATACGACGTGATTTCTTAAATTTAAAAAAATGTCAAAAGAGACTAGAAGGATCAATTTTACAACGAATTTACATAGCAAACTGGATTCCACCTATTTTATAGTTTTTTTAGCAATATGTAAATTAAAAAAAAAAAAAAAATATTTTAAAATAATTTCTGATCGCAACTGACTGCTTTAGTTTCCATCAAAACAAAAAGGCATTTTTTATTTTGGGGGGAGGGGAAGGCAGTTTTCTTTCTTTAATAAACTCACCTGCATGTTGAGAAATCGATTTTAATCGAGAAGAATCCTCAGCAGTTACCGAAAATGTTGGAGGTACTGGGCTTTGAGTCTCAGAATCAGTTAAGACGGAATCGGCAACCTTTCTCTTTTTCAGTGGGAGAGAACTTGCCACTTTTTCAGTGAGAGAAGGTTCTGAAATTGTACTGCTCAAAATCGCAGAGTTCAAGACTTTATCAGAGTCATTGCTTTCGGAACATTTATTTGCTACATGTTGTTCACTAAGGATATTTGTATTGTTTAGGTTTTTTAGGTTGCTCTCTTTTGGCGCAAAAAAATGAATAGAACTATTTTTTATCGTTCCCCAAATGGGGAATTCACTGCCGCTGGTTACTAAATCACTAATTTGGGGTTCAAAAACGTTACCAGTAATTCTGATTACCTTTTGTTTCACCTTAAGAAAAGAATTTATGAAATCCTTTTTATTGATAGACCTGACCAGAAAATTATCATTGAAAGGGTGTATCAAGTAAACAAGACTCTGGTTATTAGTGGAAAGTTCTTTTAAAATGCGAGCATTTAACACTGGCAAACTTTTTTTCCTAACAATAGGGCTGTTGTTTTCATGTGTGTCATCATTGTCTGTGTTGTTTGTTTTGTGTAAAGTGCAGTCATCATGAGAATTCTCATTTTCTTTTTTCCCTTCATGCGGAGAAGGATCCACTATCATCCGGTCTTCTTTATCAGAAGATCTCTTGGAATTATTTAGAACGGAATCACTTGAAGAGTACGTAACTAAGTTGCCTACACTTGTTTTGGGGGCGCGACCACAAATAAGCTTATCTTGTTTTGGCTGTTGCTGCTTCTCACATTTTAAACTTCGGGGAATTCCAATTCCACGCTGTACATTTTTGCTTGGTAGGGATAATAATGGTCTATTGATCTTAGCTTCTACAATAATTAATTTGGGGGGGAATACAGATGCATTGGCGGAACTGTGGACAGATGATAACTGTTGTTGGTAAGGCAAAGAAGGGATTTTTGCATTGTTGACAATAGTAGTTGTAGCAGCAATACTATTAGTAGTGGTAGTAGAAGTAATAAGCTTACTATTCCTACTACTACTGATACCATTGCTGTTACTATTACTATTCTCACTGTCACTGACATATTTCTGTTTAGGAGATACACCCCGTTCTGATTTATAGGCGTATTGAGAAAATTTAGTCATTACTTCAGCGACAATCAATCTGTCTTGATTTTCTTGTGGAGTGGTTTGTAAATTATGAAGAACAGCTTCACCACTGTGAGTAGGCGAAGGTGATTTAACCAATACATCCATAATTTCGTCAGTTTTAGTTTCGATAAAAACTAAGAAAGTAACCTAAAAAAATGTTTCTAGTGATTGCTGGGGTGGGGAGGATGTATATTTTCTTTTTTTGTGTGGGGGGGGCGTTGAAAATAATAAGTGTATAAATACTTAACAACACTCCTGCAACATTTCCAACGCACGAAAATACCTTCTGTAAGTACATATGTCCATTCACAATGCCGTTAAATACGTGCTGAACATATCGATGAGTCCGAAATCGTCGACTTAAAATGGCTATACACGCTTGGTCTATGTGCGACAGGAACTAAACAAAAAGTGAACTTTGGAAGTGATGTCACATGGAAAACACGTGGTCACAAGTCAACCAATCACAGCCGTTTCAAATGTGGGGCTTTCCACTTCTTAATTACCTTCGCTTGTTCGTTTTTTGTTGTTTTTTTTTTTCGTTTTTATTTAATTTAATTTTTTTTGTTACTATTTAAATAAAGACATCGGTACAGTTTTATTTGAAAATTTTAAAAAATCAAATAAAGAACTTACATTTTTAGAATAAAGAAATTAATTTAGAAATGCTTTTTTTCTGTGTATATTTCCAGTGTCGTATCGATTGATTTCTTTTATTACTCACAAACTCAATCAATGCGTGGTGCAATATTCAGAAATAAACCAGAAATACAAAACTATTTTTTTTTAAATGAAACAGAAAACTTCTTTCGCATAGTTGCAATGTTTTATAACTTTTTATAACCCATTTTTTTTTCTAATTTTTATTCGTTTTTATTTTATTCCACCATTTCATGCAAACGAAACTTAAACCATTTTTTAATACAACAGATTAACGACTGAAATTGCACAATAGCCGTTCTTTACTTTTTTTTTTTTTGGCGCGTAGAGGATTTTTAGTTTCTGTTTATTTTCTTTGAATTTTATCGGCAATTGAGTTGCAGTTTCGTTCTCTCATTTTCCTGTCATTTAATTTTTAAAGAACTTAAATACTAACGGAAAGAGTTTTATTTTAAAACTTTTTATATTTTAGTCAGTGTTCTGTTAAGTGTTAACATTGTTTTTATTTTACAAAAAAAGTGTTCTAAAAAATTTGTATCACAGTTCACTGAATGCGAGAGATGACTTACTTCAATCCTCAAACAAAAACTAAAAACAAAACAGAAATTAATTTTCAATTCAAATAAGCATTTTATTTTTAATTCAGATGAGTTTGTAAAAAATAAAATTTAAAGGTTAAAATTCTGAATTTATCGATACTGTCTCTGACATTGTAACTGAACACTAACAGTTTGTTAAATAAAATTACTTTCTTTTCGTATTTAGCAAAATAAGTTTCATAATTGTTGTTTTTTTTCTTTTGTTTTTATTGCCATTATAAAATAAAATTTTTAAAAAAATACTTAAAGAAAAAACATCTAGTTAAGTGAAAATTCTTTTGTTTATGATAATTATTTGAGGAGAGTTGTCATTTAATCTTTACTGACAGTACTAAAATCTAACACAAAATGTGATTTTGTTTATTTGCGATGGAGTTTTCTGTTTTACTTTTGTAGAGATAAAAAAAAGATACAAGACACTAAAAATAAATACATCATTCACCCTTGAGTGGAGATGTTCCTAGTCTCCAGGATTCTTTTGGACTTTGTTACATTTTTAGAATGGTAAAAAAAAAATTATTGTATGGTCCATCAGGAAAGATATGAAAGCTATTTTTAACCGAAAATTTTAAGTTAACTAGTGCCAACTAAAACCAACTTACTTAAATTTTTAAAGTTTTTTTTTAGATTGTTCTTCAAAGTGACCTGGTTAGTGTTTAAATGTGATTTACTTCGTATTTTCTCAATCCAATGGTAGTTGTTAATCTTGCGTAGGGTACCCGGTACAGTGTAACCCGGATATAAGAGACCCGGATATAAGAGAAACCCGGATATAAGAGAGATTTCTCTGGTCCCAAATTAGCGCCTGAAAATAGACCAAACCATATAAGAGAAACCCGGATATAAGAGAAACTCGGATATAAGAGACTTCTTCTCCGGTCCCGACAACTCTCTTATATCCGGGTTACACTGTAGTATAGACCCTACAATCTTTAACCCTCTACTAGTCACACGAGGTATTAGACCCAAAGATTTTTTAACTACTCATAATTCATAGTTGAAAACTTGTTTCTGTTGCTCCCTACCACTTTTCCCCAGACCCATGTGGTGTGACGCAGTTGTAGTTTAGTTTTCAATGGGAGGCAGCCATCACTTTGTCTTTTTCAGATTCTTCTGTCAACCCACCTGAAAAACGAAGGTAACTTTTCATGACATAATATATATATATATATATATATATATATATATATGCGTGTGTGTGTGACTGAATAAATTACAGACATTATGTCTGCTAATTTTTAATAAAATCCGTTCATACTCACGAATAACCTTACGTATATTGATATTAAAGGATGAGTGAAATGTGCTATATCTGTTTAAATTTCTTTTATTTTAATTTCCCAAGTACTTTCAGTCTTCTTCCAAGATCAGCTTCAGGGGTGCAAATAGTACAAAAAACTATATGTTGTTCAGGGTTACAAGTATTTATACAAAGCTGCGCGTTGCTATCCATTACAGTAATTTTTCATTATGCTTTTAAATGCAAAGGGTTGACAATGTGCTGAGCATTCCTTAGAACGTGAAAAATTATCCATTATGGAATTTTTTCCTGTATATTGTAAATGTCATGGTCGTGCGCACATTTAAAAGCATAATGAAAAATTACTGCAATGGATAACAACACACAGCTTTGCATAAATACTTGTACTCCTGAACAACATTGAAATTGAATCTATTTATGCTTGTTTGGTGGTGGGAGGTGGAAATCCACCTCTGTGTCTGTTTTGGGATGACACTGTAACGTATGTACCAAATGTAGCATCAGGTCGATTCACTAAATGTAGCAGGATCAGCAAATATATAGGTACTACAACTATTTATATTAATGATACTTCCACGTACAGGATTCAAGTAATAATAACAACAACTGCAATTTGTTGACCAACAAATATATATTGAATAAAATACAACAAGCATGAAATAAAATCGTATTCACAATGTAGATTAAAGAGAAGGAAGTTCTTTCCATTTGACTGTAGGTTGATTGTAATCAACCGTTTGAAGAAAGTTCTCTTGTGAGATAAATGTTCCGAAATAATTGTTAGAGCAAAGTTTGCATGTGAAGAATGAATAACACCAAGAATACAAGTGCTTGAAATGTGTTGTGAATAAACTGGCTTAAATCAACAAATTTCTGGTTGATTGTGCTTGGCGAAAGTTACAGAGAGAAAATGTAAGTTTGTAGTTACGAAATTCTGTGTCTGTGTGTGCGTTAGAGTGTGATGAGCAAGATAATGGATTTGTGTTGACGGCTGGGATTTTACTGGCGAAAAGTCGCCCTATTTAAGGAAAAGAGGTAGGCTCCCACGGAACCGAGGGAAAACTTGATCTTACATTAAAAATATGTGATTGGTTAAAAATTAACCAATCATTACACACGTACTAAACAGAATAGGTAAGTATGCTCAGAACCAAAAGATTCAAAGGAACGACTGCGATGGCTAAATTGTCCTATACAAAGGTAGTAGTAATTTATTAGCCAATCATAGGCAAATAAAATGACTTGGAGTGTATGTGGGTGTGAAAAACATAGCAACCGCTATAACACTCTTACAGAGAGACACACCTGCATACAGGTGTACGCATTATAGTTCACACAAACATACTCACATAAACAATTCATATATATATATATATATATATATATATATATATATATATATATATATATATATATATATACATTGAGCTCTCTTTGGATTAATGTCCTCTTCGAATTATCCCTACCAGTTACCACTTTATATTATTATATATTTATATTTATATATATATATATATATATATATATATATATATATATATATATATATGTAATTGATCCTGAACTTGGCATGACGATTTCAGTCTCTTTTCTCACCAACGTGATGTGGCCTCCACGTCTTTTCTACAAATATTTTCATGGCAACTGCATGACAAGCTCTTTTTCCCCTGGTGCCTGGACTACACGAGTTTAAGTGTGCTAAACTGACATCTAAGTCCCACACTTTTACTATTGAATTAGTTAAATGTAACCGCCACTTCTGCTCCAACAGTTTCTTTTCTTACACTTCCTGCCTGTGGAACACCCTCCCATTTCTTCCTTTCCTGATAACCATAACCTTCAAAAATTTAAATATAGTGTCAATCGCCATCTTCTGTCTCCTTGAACCCCATTCAGCTTTTATCCTTTCCTCAATTCCCCTTAGCTAAGCTTTTCTCCCATATTCAGTTTCTGTAAGCCCCATGCATAACAGTGACATTCCCACTTTGCTTGGGATTAAATGATTAACAATATATATATATATATATATATATATATATATATATATATATATATATATATATATATATATATATATACATTATGTGTGTGTGTGTGAGTGTATAAAAGATCTTTAAAAAAGAATCATATTTTCTTTTAAAAAGAAAGATAGAAAAGTATCACAATTATTAAATTTTAGGTAACTTTCGGCTGACACATCTTCATAAAAAATATCGTCAGCGAAAAAAAAAACTCAGCGGTTCAAAAGAAAAATTGTTTTCAAGAAATGGTGCTAAAATATACTCAAACTAGGAAGGGGAACAAAAAATATTTTCCTAACTAGGCGTTGAATTGATTCCCGAAAAAGGCCAACTTGTTTTTATTCTCTCTGCCTACACAGGGCAGGACGTTGTTAAAGACAGCAGACTTTTTTTTATGAATAAAATATGATCCCTTTTTTAAAGATCATTTTATCCTGGTGTAGCAATAATAATCTGTTCATATCTATCTATCTATCTATCTATCTATCTATCTGTGTGTGGGTGTGGGTAATACTTATATATGTGTAGCGATCATCATCGCCATCACACATACATACAGATCAT